TTTTTTTTACTTTTTTTTTTTATGTGTGTGTGTGTGTGTGTGTGTGTGTGTGTGTGTGTGTGTGTGCTCATTGGGCCCACCCCCTCCTACCTCAACGTTCTTCTTTCTTTCGCATAACCCCTGCTTCTTCATCTACGGGGCCACTGTTGGCCCTACCTCGGATATACCAGACAGCAGTTGCAGGCACCAGCGCTAGGCCACGACACCCCTCCCCGCCCCAGTTGAACCACTATCGAACGAGCCATGCTAATCTTCTGTGAATCGTTCCAAGTTTAACGGATGTCCCGAAGGACATTTTTGTTTTGCTTTTGTTTTGCTAAGAAAGAAAGAAAAATCTTGCCTGTTTCTGATGCCACTCCCCGTCAGAGATAATTCCATCCCAGCCCCTTACATTTCAGACTTTCAGTGCATTCTCGCGCTGGCACTTTCCAGAATGTACCTGATCGCAGTTATGGCGAGGGCTGCCGTGCCACATGGGTAATGAGAAGACCCCTGACGATTCCGGTACTGGCGACCGGATGAAATTGCACGGTAGGGTCGCTGCACCAGTTCTTCACAGATATTTTTTTTATGATGTATCTGGCAGTGCTTCGAGCTAAGCTCTTCTGCCAGTTGGTCGCATTTCGGAAAACTATTGGGACGTCTTCCTCTCCCTCCCCTCCTTTTTTTTTACTCCTCTTCTCTCTTCTTCTTCTTCTTCTTCTTCTTCTTCTTCTTCTTCACGAGTTGTTCATCTCAGCATGCCTGTTTGATGTCTATGACAAATGTCTAATCCAGCATAGAGGGTCGTCCAGGTGCCCAACCAACGAAATTTCTCCTACCGGTTCTAACTGCCTCCAGGCTGGGCCAAACTCGGCCCTCGGGGGAGGGGGGGGGGGGTAGGTTCGGTAAAACGGGCCTGAGTGTTTTGGTGGTTTAACCTCTCGAAAAAAAAAAAAAAAAAAAAAAAAAAAACACTTGCCCCCTCATAGTTGAAACTCGTTCACAACTTATGGGCAGCCTTTTCAGGAATGGTGACCATGATAGCGATGCATGGGCAGCCTCCGCCGTTAAAAGTTTTTTTTTTTTTTTTTTTTTTTTTTAACAACGGGGCCAGTGCCCAAGGCTGATATTAACAATATGGAGAGTTGAAACTCATCCACAACTTATGGGCAGCCTTTTTAGGAATGGTGACCATGATAGCGATGCGTGGGCAGCCTCCACCGTTTTTTTTTTTTTTTTTTTTTTTTTTTTTTTTTGACAACGGGGCCAGTGCCCAAGGCTGATATTACCAATATGGAGATTGAGGCCGGGGTCCTCACAGTCTACCCGGAGTGACCGAACCGAACTTGCCGAGAACCGGGCTCAGCGTCCCTCATATGATGATAATGATAATGCTGCTGCTGCTGCTGCTGCTGATAATGATAATGATGATGATGATGATGATGATGATGGTGGTGAACTTCTGCTGATTCTATGTAAAATGTGAGATAATCATACTAATGATGATGATGCCTAGTACGTAAAAAATATAGAAGATTATGCTGTATCAGCAATTCTGGCCTCCTAATCTTAGCACAACTCCTAGCCCTCCTTGTACCAGGATATTACATCTCAGAGACAATGCCATCCTAACCAACATCAACCATAGCTGACCTGTTCTCGCCACCTGGACTATTCCCGGACCCATAGGTTGTCAAGGCAGCGCCCCCCCAGTTCGCCACTGGATTGCCTTCCTCCCTCAGCAAAAGCCCAGATCTCTCTACAAGACCTTCCACTCCTGCCATTGGCAGGTTCCGGCCAGCGTCGTTCTGGCATCGGCAAACCAGGGGCACAGAACAAATCAACTCTGCAGATATCAATCCAGATTCGACCATCTCTGAAATCCTATATTCCGAATGAGGAAGAAGGCCAGATGCTGCCAAGAATTACAGAACACCAGCAAAGCAAGCTTGATATAAGATGATTGAAAACTTATCTTTTTTTTTTTTTTTTTAATCAGCAAAACCTGGCCTCACACTCTATGCTCAGACAGTATCATCCCCTCCAACACCCACCACAGCTGAAGTGTTCTCACTGCTTAGACGAAACCCGACCCCTTAGGTCGCCAGAGCAGCACCCCCCAGTTCACCACTGGATTGTCTTCCTTCCTCGACTAATCCCCAGATCTCTCTAGCAGGGCTCAAGCTCCTGCTGCTGCAGGTCACAGGGCTATACCCCAGCACCGGCCAGCGACAGCCCAGCGTCGTTCTGGCGTCGGCAAACTGAGAGCACAAAACACCAACGCTTGGTAAGACATCAGGTAGGATTCTACCATCTGTAAAAGATACTAAAAATCCTACATTGGATATCAGAAGAAAACCAGATGTCGCCTCGGAATGTAAGTCGACCAGATAAGCATGACATAACCCCTTTTTTGATGATGATGGCGATGATGATAATGATGATAAAGATGATGATGACGACGATGATGTGTTGCTCTTGTCCTGGATCTGTAAAGACAGCGACAGCTGTCTGTCTCTCAGTCACAATCATAGCGTTGTTACTCAGAAGATTGGTAAAGAGGCTCTCCTCCCTCCCCCTTTCTTACCAACCTATCCCAAAGCTGCCTCCACCGAAATGGTTAACCCATCTCGGCCCCAACTTGGGACAGACCCACAATCCCCTCCCCTATCCCTTCAAGGCATACAGTTCCCTCCCAAAGTATGCCTCTACCCACCCTTTACCCTAATCTGCCCCCGCTGTGATGAGTACCGCTGGCCCAGCACGGCCGCATTGCTCCGCTTTTAAAAGTTTCCGATCTGTTTTCAGAATATCGTCTCGATGGACCATGGATCTGATATTAAATTAAAGTTAATTAAACTGATCAGAACGGATACTACACACTTGATCTTTTCGGGAATGGTGACCATGATAGCGATGCCTGGGCAGCCTCCGCCGTTAAAAGTTCCTGATCTGTTTTCAGAATATCGCCCCGATGGACCATGGATCTGATATTAAAGTTAATTAAACTGATCAGAACGGATACTACTCTCTTTTTCAGTTTCTTTTTGTTCAGGCAAGCTAACTGTATTCCTTGGTAATTCTCTCTTCTTTTTTTTTTTTTTTTTTTTTTTTTTTTTTTTTTTTTTTTTTTCAAGAGAATTAAAGGAGAGTTTGAAAAACTATGAATGACTATTGACCTCTTTTCGAATACTTAGAATCCCTAGACTCCCAAACAAAATTCTCTANTTTTTTTTTTTTTTTTTTTTTTTTTTTTTTTTTTTTTTTTTTTTTTGAAAAGCAAACTAACTGTATTCCTTTGTTCAGGCAAGCTAACTGTATTCCTTGGTATTCCTTGGGGAGCAGCACCTGCTGGAAAGCGGGTCCAGCGTCCCTCAACATTTAGGAATGAATGTTATAAAACCATTTAAGAGCGCATGTGGGCATGCCACGTGTCCTGCAGGGAGTAGTACCTATGGCCCTAGTAACCCCTACCTTCTTCCCCCGAATACAACGGACGGTCATTATAACTGTATTTAGACTGAAAGGTACCCCAAATACAGCTTTATCCAGTCTCCCCTTCTACTCTACTCTTCTATGCAGGGAGTAGCACTTCTTCCCCCGAATACAACGTACGGTCATCATAGCTGTATTTAGACTGAAAGATACACCAAATGCAGCTATAATGACCATACGTTGTATTCGGGGGAAGAAGGTCGTGGCGGATGGCCTGGTTTGCATAAAATCCTGATCTTCTCAGCCAAGGGGGCAAGCCAAGGGTCCTACCGTCTTCACCCGAATAGAACGCCCAGTCATTATAGCTGTATCTGGACTGAAAAGTGCACCAAATACGGCTATAATGACCGGGCGTTCTATTCGGGTGAAGACGGTAGTAAAATGCTGATGACGGCATGTCTTCTCCCGCTGTCACCCTGTCTTCCCTCTGCGCTTACGGATTGGAGAACGCTTGGATAGTCGGAGTTATAGATTTAGCGGAGCGAGGACGCGCTTTCCACCATTTTGTATAGTCCGCCGACCATACAAAGTTACAAACACTATACAAATTATTGTATAGTGCAGACTCTCGAGAATAGTGGAGCGAGACCCTAGGTTTCCTTTCGGGTTTTACGTTGGACTTTGAATGCTGCGGTCAGGGTTCAGCTTGGACGGTGTGCCTTGCTTAGCCCACACAATGCGGTCCATGATGTGAGGGACGATGCGCCCGATTCCCGGGCATATCATGGATTTTTCTTTTGTTGGGAAAACAAAGAAAGACTTTTCAAAAAACTGTATCAAAATCTTAACAAACTCTATGGAAAACCTATCAAACACTTGTCAAAAACTTATCCAATGCTCATCCAATGCTATACAGTCAGAAACTACTAAAAAAAAAAGAAAGAAAGTTAGAAACTAACAATGGTTCGGGTTTGCCCTTTATTGAACCTGCCTGCGTATATAGTAGGAATAGTAGGAGTATCGAAAGCTGGTCTGTCATTTTCCTTTTCGTTTTTCGGCCTTTTCTTCTTGTGATTTTTTTCTTCGACATGGGGTTTTGTGGTGTGTGCTGGCCCGATGATGTCTCGCCCTTTTCGTTTTTCGCCCTTTTCGTTTTTCGCCCTTTTCGTTTTTCGCCCTTTTCGTTTTTCGGCTTGACCGATGATGTCTCGCCCTTAAACAGGACCGCGAATGTTTGTGAGGGTTGCCAGGCCCGGCCCGGGTTTCCTGGCATTTTAAGGAAATTCTTCCTTCTAAAAAAAAAAAAAAAAAAAAAACAAAAGTTCGACCCAAAAAAAAAACTTCAGTGAACACCTATCACACACACTTACCAAACACTTATCAA